GATTTTTCCAATGTTTGTAGTGTAAATCAAGCATTCCACCAATTATTTCCTTTAAATTGGAAAAAGTAAAGCTTTGGATATTGGCATAAAAATAAATCAGAATATGTACAGTTTACCAGAATATAATCCAAAAAAATCAGAATTTTGCCGGAATTAAGTTGGCATATGTCAGAATATATATCAGAATTTGGTTAGAACAAAATCAGAATATGTCAGAAGCAAATCAGAATTTAATCAGAATATATCAAAACAAAATCAGAATAAATCAGAACAAAATCAAAATATGTCAGTAAAAATCAGAATATTACCAGAATTTTGTCAGAATAAAATCAGAACATATCAAAATTAAATCAGAATTTTCCAAAAATCTTGTTTCAATATTAGCATAATACTGTCAGAATTATGCCCATTAAAATCAGAATATTGACAGAATTTCCTCAAAATATTATCAGGATTTTTTTCAGAATTATGCAAAATAAAATCACGATATAGTCAATTTTATAAATAAAAATTCTCCCCCACCTGAGCAAAATTAGCAGGAAAATTTTTTTCTTTTTCAATAACGTGGGCATATCCAGGCTGTAATCCAAAATAGACAGCAAAGTAGGGGAAACCTTTAGGCACCAAACCACGAACACCTTGACTTTGTCTTGGATTTTTGGAAAGATCAATTAATTTTTTGTTTACACTCCATTCCTTTTCTGATTCCATTATTGCTTTCTTTAAAGAAAAAAATTTTTTTTAAGGACAACTTTTAGCCAAATTTTTAAAACAGAATAATAAGAAATCTTCAAAGTTGAAGAAGCCTGAGCTTAAATTTGGGTCGGAGCCGCACAGAAATATAAATTTTTGGACCTTATTCCAATTAAAATTTTCGAATTTTTTAAAATTTTCGATGTTGTTTAAAGAATTTTTTACCTTAAAATATATAGGAGACAAATCACCAATTTCTCTAGGTAATGGAACACCTGAAAAATAAACATCTTTTAGAGTCGCCCAAATTACTTCAACTTCAATTAGTTGTTAGACCTAGCTTGGCTCAGTATTTTTAGAAAATCGTAAAACCTCTTACGACCCCTCCCTAACAATCCAATCTACCACAGAGCTTATAAGCTTATAACTAGTCCCTCAAGAGAGTCGAATCTAAACAATCTTTATAAGATCTACGTCTCCTTCCAAACTTCAACTTATAGTATCAAGGTCGACTTTATACAACCTTTTTAATTTTATTTAAAAGTCGTAGGTAGTCCAAGGATTCTGTCGACATAAAAAATAAATCCCTCTATTTTAGGAATCAAAACGGCAGGATTCTTGACCTATCCCACAGATAACAACAAACTCCCTCCCCCTTCTCCCTTCCAAAAAAAGACTCACATTCAATAGACATATGCTTTTGTTCATGTATATCCCTAGCATTTTCAAAGAAAACACAATCTTGGTCTTCCTCATCCTCCCTCCACATATTCACCAAACTTTTCATCCAAAATTGTATTTCCTCCCAAACATCTTCATCTAACACTAAACTACTTGAATAATGCTCCATTGTTGTTATATAACAATGTTCTGGAGAAAGTCCATCCCAATTGATAACAGACAAATAAGTCTACAAAATTTATAGAAAATGTGTGAAAACAATTATAATATGGAGTAATAAACTGCAAAATATAGCATTCGGGTAAATCAAGAAAAATATGTGGAATTCTGTGTGACCTTACCGGTCTAAGCGGTATCTCTCTCCCTCTAAACAGAGTAATGTCCTAGTTGCTTATAAACGATTAGGTAATCGAAACTAGAGATGAGACGAGATTTCAAACAAAAATCTCAGTTAACGAGAATCAAGATTTTTAGTAATCTCACCGTATGACTCTCACAGTTCAGTCTCTAATAGTACCCACCTATTCCTTTAAAATATCTGATTGTCAGAAATAATTGAGAAATTTAGTCCCATGCGAGGTGTCAGTTCTAAGAAATTCTTCAGAAAGCCGTATGCACGAGTTACCAACAAACCAGCAATTCAAAACTAAAAAATCCTCGGTACCTATTCAACAAAAATTATCAACTTTCTATCCCCAAATTCATTTTTTTTCTTTTTTAATAATTCAAAAATTAAAAAACAATCCCCCTATTCTCTAATATTCCCTCTCTCTCACCTTCTTTCCAGTAGCAACAACTGCATGTTTTTCAAAAAGCCGGCTTTCAACGCAGTTTGAACAAGAATCGAGTGTTCGTTCCACAAATTTGTGCTCTAAAATTAAATTAAAAGGCAAATATTTTTTTAAAGATTTATTAAATTTAATATATTTTATTGCCCATTTTTTCAAAATTTGAAATATTCGCAAATTAAAAATTAATTTTTTAATTTCCCCATTTGAAAAAAAATATTTAGTCATCTCTCATTTAAATATAGAACCCCAAAAAACCAAAACCAGAGGGTTCGGTTAATCCCGAAAAACCCGTTCGCCAACCAAACTACCCTCTATTTAAGTTACCCCTATTTACAAGGTAAAATACATATTTAATCCTCAAAAGGAGGTAAACCGAACCCGAACAGACAACCTTATTAGTCTGACTAGTAAGAAAATAAAAATTTAATCAGAATTAAAAAAAATTTTAAATTTTGTACACAAAACACACAAAATATTTAATCATTATTTGATCAAAAAAGGATGACGCAAAAGATTAAAAAAAGAAATTCCCTTAATTAACCTAAAAATCAATGACCAGTTCAAGTCAAGGTCATTTACGTGTAATTAAATGAACACAATTTGCGTCATTTTACGAAAAATAAAAATTCTTTTGGATTGTATTACACAAATTGGGCGATACTATTAACTTCATTGATAGGGTTGCCGGTTCGGAACCGAACCAAAGATGTTTGAGTTCTTTGGTAAGGAAATTTTAAGATTTCCTAAAAATCGACAACCCTACACTCCACCCATTTATCCAAAGGTTTGCGGACAAAACACGATCTTGTTGAAAACGGAATACATCATGGAGTCTGTGAATTATAAGCAAATATTACAGTCAAATCTAAACAAGACTGGGTTTATGCAGACGTGAGATATCGAGATAGACTAGTTAAAGTTAAAAAATTGAAACTCGTTAGTCACACAGTCGAACCTCGTTTTTAAATATCCAAAAATTAGGCACTCTTTTGGTCACTCCCAATTTAAGTTACTACAATTTCTAGTCTCGAGATGGAGTATATAAAAATAATGTTCGGCTGCTTATTTTAAAAATAGTTCTCAAAAATTCCACAATAAATCTTCTCCCTTACTAATTTTTGTTTTTTAACGAACTACTAATTAATAATTTGAAAACTTTCCTGTACTAAAAATAGAAAATTTTCCAATTACAAATTTATTTAAAGTCCCCAAACAACATTCCTTCTTTCCTTACAAAACACCCCCTTAAAAATTACATTTTCCATTCCTTCAATTTAAATATACTAATTTTGTTTTCCTCTTCCAAATTTTTATATTTTGTCACGTGAATTGAAGGACACAACAAAAGTTTTTTTTTCTAATAAAAAAATTTTTTTTTCGAAAATAGAAATGATAAATTTAAAGGATAAAAATATTAAAAATAAAAAGAAAATTTCCAAAAACGGCGACAAACAAGAAAAACAAGAAACAAAAATTTTTTTGAAGAACACAAACAACCAAATAAATTTACAACCAAAAAATAAGTCCATCTTCTTTACTCTCTTTTTCAATCTTCTTTTCAGAAAAATATAAGAAAGTGGTTATATGATAGGTAATCCTTTGAGGGTTTAGGATATTTGGGCGCGACAGGGTTTGGGCGCGGAATTAAAAATTTCAAGTGGAGAGAACCCTAGAGAAGTGAAATTTTATGTAAATATTCTTCAAAGTAGTAACCAAGTGTTCTATAAATTTGAGAATTTTTGGTAAAGTATATTGAAAGTTATGAACGAAAAATCAGTCACATCTTGAAAAATTCAACATTTTTGGTTATACGAAGACTCTATCCCCCAAACTCTTCCAATACCTAAAAATTCTAACAAAATCTAGACTCCATTAGAAAACACTAAAAAATGCATCCATCAAAAATTTCGAAGATCCTAGGTCCTCACAAGCTTATTTTAAAAGCTTACGTCTATAAACTGACGCCCAAACGTACCCCTATCCCTTATATTGAGTGGAGCGAAGATTGTGTGTATTTTTGTTTCTGCTAGTGTTGTGAATAAAAAAAGAATTAAAAGGCGTTTCTGTGATGGTCATGAATGCGTTTTGATCGCCTTTGACGAATACGTTGCGAAATTTGGTAATAAGAGGGAGAAGAGCTCAACAAACACAATCTTTGCCTGTGGTTAAGAAGAAGAAGAAAAGTGATCACCCGCAGCCACAAAAATAAAAATATAATTAAAATATACAGCCCCTCAAACACTCTCTCAACTAAAACAACCTTTCTAAGGCCGTATATAGCAAATAAAATTGACAAAATAAAAATTGTGTTGTTTACATTGAGGTGCAAATTTAAATAGGCAGTTGATATTTAAATTTGGAGAAAAATACTTCCAACCCTTCATTTTAAAAAAATTTCTTTTTTTTCAATTCTCTAAAATTTAATCTCTTTAAAACCTCTTTTACTTAGTTTAAATATTAGGCAGAAAAACATCAACACCCTACTTAACGGAGAGACTCAGGTTTGATACCTAGCGGGGCCTCAGGTTCGTCCTAACAGTCGGTATGACAATTAAACAGGGATACGCCTCGATGAGAAGGCAAAGACAGTTGCTTGAAAACCCCGAGAAAACCTCTCCTTAAACCAACACCAATTTAGTCTCAATTAAAGACCAAGTCATAACCACTTGCAAATCAAGATATAGGGAAGGACACCAATTGCGTTTCTGGATTTAAAATATTCAAAAATGACTTTACAAAAAACTTTCCAAAAAATCCCCGAAACCCTTCTCCCCCCAACCTAAACAAAAATACTAAAATAATTTTTTTAGAAATTTATCCTTCCAAAGTTAAATAATGTACTATCATTATTATTATTCCTCATTAACTCTTCTAATAACCCTACTTATACAAAAAACAAAAGCAACAACAGAATGGTTTGGAGATGCCCGTGCACACATGAACCCTCCACAACAACCCCCATTTTATGACATTGTATATGATGAATCAGGTAAATAAATGATTAAATTGTTTGGATAGAGAATATAAATATCCTCCCATATTTCTGGTGAAAATAAGAAATAGAAGGAAGAGAATTAGGAAGAATTGGGAAGAATTAGGTGAAGATTTTTATAAGTCTTTGATGCTAAGGCTGGAATTTCCTTTAGTTTTGGGTGGGGTTGGTCCCCGTCCCCGAAAATGGGGAATTTGAGAGACCCCCACGTCGGGGACCAACACTAGTTTTGGACCGATTCCTTAGCATTGACTTAATAAGACTAAGGCTTTGACGAAGGTGTTGGTCTGCTCTTCCTGTTCGCTCAAAAATTTGTTATCGAGGTTTTCGCACTCGATCTTGAACCCTAAGTCCAGTTTCTAATTCGAACAATCAATAAAAATTATTTTAAAGATTGCCCTTTCGGGTTGGAAAGCCATGCAATTCCCGAGTACGTCTATTTTGGTGAGATGATTGGAGCTAAACAAGTTCGTGAACATTCTTTATGCTTACAATTTTGTTTGGAAACAACTAGATGTAAAGCTGTAAATTACTTTGAATCGATTGGAGGAAAAAAGGTAACGTAAATTGAACGTTGAAAATAAACTAGGGATCGGATACTTTAGTTGAGCTTTAATTGAGAAAAAATTTAAGTATTAGTCGATTTTTGAGGTTAAACTCTCCGGAAGATCTAACACAATAAGATAAGACAGCACAAATATAAAATCAAAAGAAAATATGCCCCTGTTATCACAGAATCCATTCAAAAATTCTCTTTTCCACTCCCCTCTACCTGAAAAATCGCCCAAATATACCCCTTCCCTGTTCATCTACTAACTCTCTTTGTTATATCCTAGGACTAGTCTTACCTAGTGGCTAACAGAAAAACATAAGAATAGAGTAACAGATTTATCAGAATAGTAAATACAAGAATGACGAAGCTGGCAAAAGGCAGGAATGACTAAGGACGTCGGCAGCTCAGGTGCCGACCAAGACTGATCGCTAATGACACCTTTATTCTAGACCCATAACTTTATTCTAGACCCACATACATAACTTTCTCTCTATCAAATACTCCCCCCCCCGTGCCCCTCTAATTACAGAATTTTCACAAATATCCCTCTCCCTATCTTCTTCCCAACATTTACCCCAAATATTAAAACACAAATTTCCCCAAACATTTTTTAGGACCAAAAAACAGGCTTTTGTGAATTGCTAGTTGAAACCCAATATGACAACCCCCGTTTAATGAGACCATTTCGAAAAGCAACATATTACGAAAAAATAAAATGCCGGACTTCCGTTGAAGGAGAAGAAGCAACAGACGAAGGACAACAACCTTTTGAATTTAATACTAGCAAAGGAAAAGATTTATTATTACAACAAACACCTTCTCCTTCAACTGTTGAGAGAAGGTTGACTGGGGGAGGAATAAAAAATGAAAATATTGGAAAATTAACGACAATAATTAATAATAATGAAGAAAATAAAAAAAGTGGTGAAAGAAATAATAAAATAAAAAATAATTTAAAAGAATCATCAGAGAAAATGCTAGGCAAGTTTTCTAAAATTAATTAAGAAAATTAATTATTTCTGCAAAAATATACTAATTTTTGATTTTTGGTAAAAATAAGAGGGAAAAATTAATTTTTAAATGAAAGGCTAGATGGGGACATTTACGGAAATCAACTAAGAAAACTAATTTGGGAGCAAGCTGAAAAAAGCTGTTAATTAAACGAAAAAATGACTGTAAGAGTTAGGGGCCCGGTCAGAAAGAAAGATCGAGTTGGGCATCGAATTTTGGCCCGAAAAAGACTCGGTCGGGCCGGCCCGAAAAAATGATTCAAACGACGGCTCAACTCGAAAACTAGTGTTTCACCGGAACCGAAATTTTGACCGGAACCGGATCCAATTTAAGTTCCGGTTCCCGGAACCGGAACCGGAACTTTTCAAAGTTCCGGCCCGGAACCGGAACTTTTAAAAAAATTTTTGCTAGCACATTTTAAAAAATTTTTATTTTAAGTAGGGGTGTGGTTTCGCCAAATTTTTCGATTAAATTCTGCCAAATTCTTCTGTTAATCGAAACGAAAAAAATCCAAGTTTTGGAAGACCAAATCCCTAGCTATTCAATCCCTGATATCAAACTTGCACAGCTCATTCCCTGGACATCACACCCAAATCCCTCTATATTACCTATAACCCCTTGAACTCACATAATGTAACTCAAAATCCACCTTCATCCATCCAAATCCTTCGATTTACCATACAACTTCCCTTCATAGCGCCGCAGGCGAAAATTTGGGATTTTAGGTGAACCAAGGATACAAAATTCTTCCTTTTTAAGCGCCGCAGGCGAAAATTTTGAGAATTTTGGAAGGCCAATCGGGGAAAATATTGCAAGGCCAATCCATATTTCTTAAAAAAACTAATCCTTAGGGGTGTAAAAAAGTTCCGGTTTGCCCGGAACCGATTTGTAAACCGGAGCCGGAACCGGAACCAATTTGAGTTCCGGTTCCCGGAACCGGAACCAAAAAAACACCGGAACTTTCCGGAACCGGAACCGGAACTTCCGGTGAAACTCTATCGAAAACCCCAACCCTAATTAGATGCAAAGAGCCTTCCAAAAATGGGAGAGAGCGAAAAAATTGGCTCTACTCCAGTTTATGCGTCCAATCGACTTTTATGCGTCCAATCAAAAGAAAATTGGATTTTTCTTTATATTTTGAAGTTGGAGTTGTAGCCAAGTTTTAAAAATTTCGGAAAAACAATTATAACTTTTCGAAATTTTGAGTGATAGGGCAAGAAACGGTCCCAGACCCAGTGGACGTAGGTCCCGAACATGAAGAAATGTTTTGAAACCATACCCTAACTGTGCAATACCAAGAAAAATCCAATTTTCTTTTTATTGGACGCATAAACTTTCATTGGACGC